AAATTAGCATTTTCAAAAGCTAGAGATTCAACGAGTACTTGTCTAGTGTCTGGATCTGCTACCCCTATTTGTACCACTTTAGTCAATCTTTGCACAAATTCACTAAAAGGTTCTTTTGGGCCTTGTATGACCTTAGCATGTGATTCAATTCTTTTCTCTGGTTCTTGAATCTTGTCCCAAGTATTCAAAGCTGCTGTACAGCATAGGGACAAAATGTGTTCATCATATGCAGCTTGAGTCTCTGCATCAGCATAAAGACCCTCACCAAGAATTTTATCTTGGGGAACCTTATAGCCTTTCTTTGGCCTTGATGTTCAAGGGCTTTGGCCTCTTCCCTCCATAATGAACACCACTGAATCTGGGGACCGATTGGCTCCAATCATTTAGGTTTATTCTGTATCTTGTAGCCCATGACTCTGCTAACTGCCTCATATATGGTGAATGCATGCCATAAGAAACTACTGCTTCCTTTTAAGTCTTTCATACATATTGGCTGCCAATGACATTCCACAAATCCCTCTGGATGTTTCTTGTTTGTTGGCTTTTCAGTAATAGTAACGGGATAGACCACAGCAGGTAATGATGTTATGACCTTTGGTAAGTCATCTCTGACTCTGAAAGGTACTGGTGATGTTAAATCCCTTTCATTCTCTTTCATTTGTACTTCAGCTCCTCAGTGTCTCAGTTTTAAGGTTTTCTATGGCCTGTAATCTATTCACCATTGCTTCTCAGAGTGTTTGAATTTCCTAGACAGTATAGACTTCTAAGGATTTCATTAAATCAGTCAGTTTCTTATTCTCTTCTTTCACATATGATTCTAGTGATTTAATATTTTCATCCTTAGAGGCCATCTGGATGGCATGTAGATTGCCTTCCAAAAACAATGTTCTATCTGCAAGCTTGTCATTGACCTCAGACATGGAACCGATTTTTTCTGTTAGTAGTTCATTATTTTGTTCCATTTTCCGTGTTCTGTTTGTCAAATAATCAGACATGGAACAATTTTTTTCTGTTAAGAGTTCATTATTATATTCCATTTTTGCATTCTGTTTGTCTAATCATCATTGCTGTTTTCAATGGTCTGAATCCTTTTTACTAAGCTCTCATTACCAGTCTGTAAAGTGTTTTCAATGGTATGAAACTTTTCTAATAAGCTTTCACTTCCAGTCTAAAAAGACTGTATGATTCCTATAAGTTCCTCATTCTTTAAGGATATTATATGGATGACCAACCTAATAGTCTCTACAGCTGATAGTAAGTTTGCTTCTAAAATCCCATCCATATAAGAAACAAAAAGATTTTTTACTTCCTGTATAGTAAAATTATCTGCCATTGGTATGGAGTAGTTAAACTTATGTATTTATTTGTTTATTTATTAGTTTAAATTGCAAAAGATGAAGTCATTTACCTTAAGTAGGGTTCTGGAAAATTGATGTCTGGATGACTGTTCACCAGTTGGTCTCAAATTGTAATAACTATGTTTGGCCAGCAGGTGTTGCAGCCGTACTGCCAAAGTGAGTCCAGAGGGAAAAGCCTCCGGTCTGATTTTTTTTTTTTAATGTGTTACAATCTGTAATTTCTAAGCCACACTCAACAAATCCAAACAAATGAAATTTTGTTACATAGACGAGAAAGGACGCAGCCTGTGGAAACCATGGGAGCAAACGGAAATGTCGGCAGTGCCACAGAGACCTAGCACAGTCTTGCAAACCCGCCGCAGAAAAAAAAACCATGGCTTCTTCCCACACGCTTGTGCGGGCAAATCACAACACATAACTTCCCACTTGAGCTAGCAGGCAAATCCTCACACGTGGACAGATTAAACCTCGGCACTCATGCTCGCTAATGTACGCTGGGCTTCGGGTGACAGCAGACTCCGGCAGCACAGACTACAGAAGTGTAGATTGTCCCTTTGTGGGACCCCCAAAATGCAGTGAGGCTGTGCGCAGTTGACCCAGGGTCATGGAATTCTGGCCAGCTAGACTACTAAGGCAGCCCTGTGGGCGGGTCATGGGAATCCACCCACTCATGTGCCAAATGAAGGCGAGATATTAAAATGAGTTCACAGACCCAAGATGAATGATAATTAGGTGTTTATTGGGAAAGAACTAACAGATAATAACAAGTAACAGTCGCAGTGTTCCTGATCGAAGGATGCAGTCCTTGCCTCCCTGATGCTCTCCACAACCCAAGGGTCTCTGACCCCAGCTCTTCTACCTTAAAACAGGTCTCATTGGCATCTGTACCCATGCACTGTTACAGGTTCACAGGCAAAATGTCACTACATTTTACTGTCTATATTCATTGTACATGACACCATGTTACATTGAAAAACATTTCCATTTAAGTTTATAGTAGGTTCTTTAAAATCAAAGATCAACTGCCCTTGAACACAATACCAAACTTGAAATTTATAAATGGGCCCCAGAGCATCTGGAAGTGACCAAAGAATTTTCATTTGTCAGAACAATTCTAAGAGGAGTTAGGTCAGTCCCCACCCCTTTTCTTTTTTTTCTAGACAGCAACCCATTGCCATGTGGAAGGCTTAGGTGGAGAAACCTAGGCCTTTGGGAACAGGAAGCCTAAGGGCTCTTGCTGGCTTTCAGGATTTCCTCCAGCTTGCCCCTCACTGGAGTCACAACCTGGAAATACTTTGTTCCCTCTGCTTCCTGATCCTGTCAAGTATCTCCTGTGGACACACAGGAGACCTGCTGCCTGGTCCCCAAGTCATGGCACCATGTTCTGCTTTCAAGAGTCTACTTTATGGTCTCCATACAAATAAACTGGAAGACGGAATCACCGCAGCCAGGTCTTGGTTCATCTAACTTTGAAAGCCTAGCTCATGCTCTGGGTAAGCTCCAGAAACACTGTTAGAAGACTGAAAAGGGAAGTAAAAGCCCAGAAAACAACCTGCTTAAATGTCATTGTCTCTTCTCTCTGCACTTCATTCAGAAATTTATGTAAACTGAGAGTTGATTTGTACTGCATCTGTGCTTACTCCATTGATATATTAGGAAGACTCATTTTCTTTCCCATCTATCTATCTATCTATCTATCTATCTATCTATCTATCTATCTATCATCTATCCATCTATCATCTATCTTTATCTGTTTATCTATCATCTACCCATTATCTATCTATCATTATCTATCTATCATCTATCCATTATCTATCAGTATCTATCTATCTATCTATCTATCTATCTATCTATCTATCTATCTATCTTTTTATAGGTGAGGGATTGAACCCAGGTCCTTGAGCATACTAGGCACATGTACTGAGCCACCCCACAACCCAAGCAAGCTGAACCAGTCTTTTAACCCAAGACCACTCTGGGTACCTCCCTTTAAAACAATTTGGGAGTGAATGCCAGGGCAATCACTTACTCTGCCTCTCTGCCTTAGTGGTCTCCCATGGAACATGAGAATCAGAACAGTTCCTGTGGTAGATTATTATTTTAAGGTGTGCAACTTTTGTTTATGTTGCATTTGTTTAACTATGTAAAGCTGTGATTCTTTGCCTGTCTAAAAAACCTGGTGGTCTAATAAAGAGCTGAACAGCCAATAGCAAGGCAAGAGTAAGAATAGGCAGGGCTAGCAGGCAGAGAGTATAAATAAGAGAAACGAGAAAGGAAAGGAGAGCAGGAGAGCAAGAGAGCAACGAGAGGAAGACATCAGGGGTCAGCCACCCAGCCACCCAGCCACCCAGCCACCCAGCCACCCAGCCACCCAGCCA